AAAGTTTATGTCCGTAGTATTCAGTGTTTTATTCAGTCAGATATGTTGTACACTTTGTTTGTAGTGAGATAACAAATATGCTCAAATAATTCAAATGAAAGCCGCAATATGGAGTGTGGATCTGATAGATAAATTTTCTAGTATAAACTAGAGGTTCAACACATATATCTGAGTATCCAGACACGTGCGTTGAGTACTCCAAAAATTGCTATAAAATATTTATTCTCAATTGCTCCACTCACTTGAACTAACATCTTTGCCGTGTCGAGTTCGTCTCATAACACAGCGAGGATTGAATTAAATTTTGTAGACAGTGGGTGCAGATTGGTTTAAGCATTCACACATTAAAATGTATATCATAGATAATTAATCATGGCTTACCAGGATATTCACTTAGCACTATAATATTAACATGATAGTGCGATAGAGACTGAATGAGTAGACAGATTTTTTCCTTGGAGTTTAGGCTGCTACCTTCTCTGGATCATTAGACACTGTATGTGGCATTTGTCAACAAGGAGGGCTTTTGTATCGATAATTTTCTAATAAACTCAACTTAATCTCATAATTATCATCCCAAGATATCTATTCTTGTTAAAGTAAATTAAGTATTAAATCCTAGGGCTCACTAGTGGAATAGTAGACAGTAAACACTGCAATTGTCTTCATCGACAGAGTTCAATATCCCATTAAAAAATAGGCATATGATCTCATTGATGACAAGTGGTCTGCATAGAGACCAGTAAAATTGACCAGTATTTTTCTGGAGTGTTTACGGAGTGAAAGACCATACACAAGTTAGCTCTATAATCAGATCGATCGTTGGAGATTTCTGAAGCCTTGAAAATACAACATTGTGGTGTCAAGTGAGGGCGCGGGCATGGATGAATGAGATCAGAGAGGGTTAGGAACTGGAAAGTCTGATTGAGGACTTTCTTTACGTCACATAATTGATAATGAGATGTAGAATTAGGATCACCCTGAATGGAAGATGAGATGGGTCTGGCCTCGACGATGTGATAGCAGTGACACTTATGTTCAACATAGTACTGGAAGTCTTGGGCTACAGCAATCAGACAGGAAAATGAATCAAAGGTATCCAAATAGGGCAGAAGAGATCAACACTTTCACTGTTTGCTGATGATATGATATTGTATCTAGAAACCCAAGGATTCAACAAGAAACTCCTGGAACTGATCAATGAGTTTAGTAAAGTCTCAGGATACAAAATCAATACACAGAAATCAAGAGGCATTCATATATGCCAACAACAATCTAATTGAGAACCAAATCAAAGACTCAATTCCCTTCACAATAGCAACAAAGAAATTAAAGTACCTAGGAATATACTTAACCAAGACGTAAAAGACCTCTACAGGGAGAACTATGAAACACTGAGGAAGGAAATAGCAGAGGATGTAAACAGATGGATATCCATACCATGCTCGTGGATCAGCAGACTCTATATCATTAAAATGTCTTTACTACCCAAACTGATCTACAGATTCAATGCAATACCTATTAAAATCCCATCAGCATTCTTCACAGATATAGAAAAAATAATTTTACGCTTCGTATGGAACCACAGAAGACCCCGAATATCAAGAGCAATTCTAGGCAACAAAAACAAAATGGGAGGACTTAATATGCCAGATATCAAACTATACTACAAAGCTGTAGTAATTAAAACAATATGGTATTGGCACAAAAACAGGAATATTGACCAGTGGAACAGATGTGAAAATCCTGATATAAAACCATCCTCATATAGCCATCTCATCTTTGACAAAGCAGACAAAAACATACGCTGGGGAAGAAGATCTCTCTTCAATAAATGGTGCTGGGAAAACTGGATAGCACCTGTAGAAGGCTAAAAAGGACCACACCTTTTCACCTCTCACAAAAACCAACACACGCTGGATAACAGACTTAACCTAAGGTATGAAACTATGATAAACTCTAGAGGAAAAACTTGGAAACACTCTCTAGACATCGGCCTGGGCAAAGAGTTTATGAAGAGTCCCAAAGGCAATCACAGCAGCAACAAAAATAAATAAATGGGACATGATCAAACTACAAAGCTTCTGCACAGCCAAAGAAATAGTCATCAAAGCAAACAGACAACCTACAGAATGGGAGAAACATTTTTGATCCTATGCATCCGATAAGGGACTGATAACTAGAATATACTTAGAACTCACGAAAATCAGCAAGAAAAAATCAAATAACCCATTAAAAGAGTGGCAAAGGACTTGAACAGAATTTTTCTAAAGAAGACAGAAGAATGGCCAACAACATATGAAAAGAAATGTTCAACTCTCTAATCATTAGGAAATGCAAATTAAACCACAATGAGATATCACTTAACCCCAGTGAGAATGGCTTTATCAAAAATTCCAAATAATAAATGCTGGCGTGGTTGCGGAGAGAGAGGAACATTCCTACACTGCTGGTGGGATTGCAAACTATTTCAATCTCTGTGGAAAGCAATATGGATATACCTTAAAGCAATACAACTGAATCTACCATTTGATCCAGCAATCCCATTGCTAGGTATCTACCCAAATGATCCAATGACACTCTACAAAAAAGACACCTGCACTCGAATGTTTATAGCCGCACAATTCATAATTGCAAGGCTGTGGAAACAGCCAAATGCCATCAACTCCAAGATTGATTAATAAAATGTGTTATATTGTATACAATGGAGTACTATTCAGCTCTAAGAAACAATGGTGATATAGCACATCTTATATTTTCACTGGTACGAGCTGGAACCCATACTACTAAGTGAAGTATCCCAAGAATGGAAAAACAAGCACCAGATATATTCTCCAGCAAACTGGTATTAACTGAGTAGCACCTAAGTGGTCACATAGATTCTACAGTAATAGGGTATTAAGCAGGTGGGAGGGGGAAGGGGGGCGGGTATATAAATACATAATGAGTGAGATGTGTACCATCTGGAGGATGGTCATGCTGGAGACTCAGACTTGTGGGGGGAGGGGAAGAAATGGGCATTTATTGAAACCTTAAAACCTGTATCTCCATAATATGCCGTAATAAAAAAAAAATATTTCTATAGCATTTTGCTAACAAGATCATGTATAAATATTTGCACTTAGTAAAATAAATAATGACTATAGCCTTATTATATTTCAGGTAATATTTTACAGCCACAAGGGTTTGTCACAAATATAAAATAAATTTGTTTTCCAGAGATTTTTTGATTTTAAAATTGCATGTAATTTATTGGGGACCTATATTTCAACTTTCAATCCATAAGCAAGTCCTATCAATTCTATATGTGTATCTCTCAACTCTCTTTTGATTTCTACTGTCACTATTCTAGACCAGGCCACTCTAGATCTCTTGCTGTATGACTTGAAAAGACCACCTAACTAACTAACTTCTTCATTCTGTGTTGTCTTACTTGCCTACTATCCATCTTCCACACTCTTCCCACACTAATCTTTAAAAAAAAGTAAAATAAATATGATCATGTTATAGCTTTGGCTCCCCACTGCATATAAGGTAAACTCTTATACAAGTTTTGGCCTGGGTTAACCTCTTTAGATTTACCTCCTGTTGTATCTATCATACATTATGCTACAGCCATGTTAAGCTACTTATGTTTTTCTAAATAGCCCATGAAGTTTCCTGCTCCTTCACCTTGTCATGCCATTGCCCCATTGGTGAACAATGACTGTCAATTCATCTCATCTCCTTTAAAAAAAAATTTGATACCTAACAGATGCATATATTCATTGTACATGTGATATTTAATACATTCATATAATTTGTAATGATAAAATGAGGGTAACTAGTCTATACATCACCTTAAATATTTCTTTTCTTTATCTTAGAAACATTTGAATTATTGTCTTCTAGCTATTTTGAAATATACAATAGATTCACCTCATCTCCTTTTACCTCATGTTCAGATCCTTTATAAAAATAACCAATACATCCTCCAAAGTATTCTACCTTAGCATTTACAATATTCAATGTCTTCATTTGATGACATTTATATATTTACTATAATATCTCCTTGAGAGGAGAGTCTAGTTCTATTTGATTCTGTGTCTTTACCATTTAAGCACTGTGTCTGGTAGCTAACAGGTGCTTAATAGGAGTGGAACAAAATAGTGGAAGTATAGATTCTGTGATGGAGAGTGAACTGTAGGCCTTATAGAGATCTCAAATTTAAATTTTCACATTTTAATTTATGGAATAATTAGCTTAATATGCATATAATAAATATTAGTGTAATATATTAAAATAGATTAAAAAGAAAACATTTCTGTTCTACCTACTTCCTTAATATAAATATCTATGTTATATGTATATATCAAAAAACTAAACTAATAATATAGCCCAAATGTTACCATGTAGGAAACAGGAGTAGCAATGGAATTCCAGATGGTTGACATGCAGGTGCAGGTATTCAACTGCCAGTTCATTCCACCACTAATTTCTGTCTCTGAAGGTTGACACCACTTCATGTCAGATCTAAGGGAAAAAGAACACTCTATTCAATAAAGTGTGCTGGGAAAACTGAATATTCACAAGCAGAAAAACAAAATTGAATCTTTATCTCACACCATTTTATTTTTTTATAAAAATCAACTAAATGATCAAAATTAATTAAAATATAAACATAAGGCCTAAATTATAAAACCACTGGAAGAAAACATAGAGCAAAAACTACACGACATTGGTTGAGGCAATGATTTTTTTGGATTTGACCCCAAAAGCTCAGGCAACAAAAGCAAAAATAGATAAATGGGACTATAGTAAACTAAAAAGCTTCTGCACAGAAAGTGAAACAATTAACAGTAAAGAGATAATCTATGGATTGGTAGAAAATATTTGCAAGCCATATATATGAAAAGGGATTAATATCCAAAATATATAAGGAACTCAAACAACTCAATAGGAATAAAACAAATAATATGAATCAAAAATGGCCAAATGACTTGAATAGACATTTCTCAAAAGACATACAAATGGCCAACAGATATATGAAAAAAATGCTCAATATCACTTATCATTAGGGAAATGCAAATTAAAATCACGCTGAGATATCACCTATCTCACACCTATTAGAATGACTATGATCAAAACGATAGGAGGCTTTGTTAAAAATGGCAGACTAGGGATGACCTCCTTGCTCTCTGTTCTTGGAGTGGGAGGTGAAGAACACGGCCTAAATCACTCGAGTGGGTAGTTCTCCCACAGGATCAGCTTCACGGAATTGCAGGGAAGTTTCTAGGGGCAGCAGTGCCGGGAAAAGGAAGAAAGTGACTCAGTGGATTTACTGTGAAGTTCCGAGAATCCGAGTGGTAATGCGCAGATTGGAGTGTAAGCTGGCCGCGCTCAGCAGCCAGCCAAATGGCTGTGTGATCCTTCCCACAGGGGGACGACTTCTCCTTCACCAACCTCCACGCCCACGAAAGCAGGAAAGTGCCTGAAGACAGTGTGAAGCGGTAACACGGACAGGCAGGCAGGTTGGAGAGGAGGCAGGAGTGGAAAGTAATCTGAAATCTCCAGGGCACGGTGTAAGGTCGCCTTTGCTGGGAGATCTATAAACACCAGCAGCGTATGCCTCGCTTGTGAAGGGACAGAAAAGTGAGACAGATTGCTCATTTGACTCAGTTGCCTGGTGGACTCGGGCAGCGGCCAAGCCCTGTAAGGGAGGAAGTGGAAGAAGGGAGTGAGAGCCATCCTCTGGGACCCTCCCGGGTCTCCAGTGGCCAAAGCTCCGAAGCCACCGAGGATGCAGATAGTTTTCGCCCCTCGGTGGAATTTGTCCGCGGTTCCCAGCCCCTTGAGTTTTGCCGGTGAAGGGACAGAAGCAGAGTAAGAGCCATTCTCCGTGGACCCCCAGAGTATCCAGTGGCCCAAGCCGCACCGCTGCCGGGGACGCCCCGATAGTTTTCACCCCTCGGCGGAACTCGTCCACGGTTGCCAGCCACTTGAACTCTCCCAGTGAAGGGACAGAAGGTGGGGTGACAGCCAAACTCTGCGGACCCTTCCAGGGATCTCCAGCGTCCCACACCCAGCCACCGCGGGGAGGCGCAGTGTTCACCCCTCGGCAGAACTTGTCCGCGGTTCCCAGCCCCTTGAACTCTCCCAGTTAAGGGACAGAAGGCGGGGTGAGAGCCAAACTCTGCGTACCCTCCCCAGGGGCCTCCAGCGTCTCACGCCTCGCCACCGCGGAGACGTGCGGATAGTGTTCACCCCTCAGTGGAACTTGTCTGCAGTTCCCAGGCCCTTGAACTCTCCTGGTTAAGGGATAGAAGGTGGGGTGAGAGCCAAACTCTGCGGACCCTCCACAGGGGTCTCCAGCATCTCACGCCTTACGGCCGTGGAGATACGCAGATAGTGTTCACCCCTTGGCGGAACTTGTCCGTGGTTCCCAGCCTCTTAAACTCTCCTGGTGAAGGGACAGAAGGTGGGATGAGAGCCAAACTCTGCAGACCCTCCACACAGGTCTCCAGCGTCTCACGCCTCACTGCCACAGGGACACACAGATAGTTTTCGCCCCTCCGCAGAACTTGTCCGCGGTTCCCAGCTGCTTGAGCTCTGCCGGTGAAAGGACAGAAGGCGGGGTGAGAGCCATCCTCTGCAGACCCACCACAGGGGTCTCCAGCATCCCACGGCCTGCCGCCGCGAGGACACACAAATAGTTTTCACCCCTCTGCGGAACTTGTTCGTGGTTCCCAGCTGCTTGAACTCTCCTGGTGAAGGGACAGAAGGTTGGGTGAGAGCCATCTCTGCGGACCCTGCCCAGAGGTCTCCAGTGTCCCACACCCACAGATGCGGGGACGCGCGGATAGTGTTCACCCCTCGGCAGATCTTGTCTGCGGTTCTCAGCAGCTTGAACTCTCCCAGTAAAGGGACAGAAAGCAGAGTGAGAGCCATCCTCCGCGGACCCTCCCCAAGGGTTTCCAGTGGCCCAAGACCCACCAACAAGGCGAGGAAAGTTTTCACCCCTCAGAGGAACTTGTCTGTGGCCCCCAGCTGCTTGAGCTCTGCCCAGGAAAGGGCGTAAGAGGGGGCTAGCGCCATCCTCCATGGATCCTTGCCAGGGGTCTGTTGCGGCTAAAGCTCCACTGATGACAAACAGAAAAGGGACAAGCTTCACCCCTTAGTGGAGATTCTCAGTGGTCCCTGGCAACTCAAGCACAGCTGATTTCAGCCCATAATCTATTTCCTGCATCTCCGATCCTCAATAAAGCGTCCAGATGAGAACGAACCAGCAAAAGTTTACAGGAAACATGAAGGAACAGAGAGAAAAGTCACTTGCAGAGCAAAATACTCATTCTCCATCATCTGACTCCAACATACATGATATGAGTAAACTGACAGAGGAAGATTACCGAATATAGATTGCTACAAAACTGAATGGAATTGAAGAGAAAATAGAATCACAACATAGAGAAACTACAAGAACAATACAAGAAATGAATGAAAGATTCTCTGAAGAAATTGAGACTATCAAGAAAAACCAAACAGAAATTCTGGCAATGAAGGAAACAATCATGGATCTCCATAATTTAGTGGAAAGCCTAAAGAACAGGATGGACCATGCAGAAGAAAGAATCTCAGAACTTGAAGATTATGCCTATGCTCTAAACAAATCAGAGGAAGAAAGGGAACACAGAAACAAGAAACAAGACCAAAGTTTACAGGAAGTGTAAGATTATGTTAAAAAACCAAATATCAGATTGATTGGGATTCCTGAAGGGGAAGAGGAACATTCTTAAGGGCTGGAAAATTCATTTCACGGAATACTGGAGGAAAATACGCCAGGCCTGGCTAGAAATGTTGATATCCAAATACAAGAAGCACACAGAAATCCTGGGAAACTCAATGAGAAAAGGCAATCACCTCGCCACGTGATTTTTATGCTGACCAAAGTAAATGTGAAAGAAACCATTCTCCGTGCAGGAAGACCAAAGCAGCAAATGACCTATAAAGGTAAGCCGATCAGACTAACAGCTGATTTCCCATCTGAAACCTTACAAGCCAGGAGGGAGTGGGTGCCTATCCTTAATCTTCTAAAACAGAACAAAGCCCAACCTAGAATTCTTTATCCGGCAAAATTAAGTTTCATCTATGAGGGAGAAATAAAGTCCTTCTCAGACAAACAATCACTGAAGGAATTTGCAAAGACCAGACCATTCCTACAGGAAATTCTTAGACCCGCATTTCTAACCGAACAGGGCAGTAGACACTCCTCAAAGTGAAATCATCAAAGAAATAAAGTTTAGATCTCGAACTAAATGATGGCTCAAGGAGTAAGACAAAGCAACAAGATTACACCCAACAATATGAATGGTAATCTTCCTCCAATGTCAATCCTCTCAATAAATGTAAATAGCTTAAACTGTCCTCTGAAGAGACATACACTTGCAGAGTGGATAATAATGCACAAGCCTAGCATCTGCGGTCTACAGGAAACATATCTAACTCACAAAGATGCCCGCCTGCTGAAGGTCAAGGGTTGGAAAATTATCATCCAGTCAAACGGAAGTCAAAAGAAAGCTGGAGTAGCTATACTATTTGCAGATAATATAAGCTTTAAAATAGCAAAAGTTAAAAAGGATAAAGATGGCCATTATATAATGGTGAAAGGAAAGATCCAACATGAAGATTTAACAATTCTTAATCTCTACGCACCCAATACAGGAGCACCCAATTACTTAAAGCAAACCTTATTTAATCTAAACACCTTATTACATAATACTACCATAGTAGCAGGGGACTTCAACATCCCATTAAATGATCTGGATAGAATCTCCAAACAGAAAATAAGCAAAGAAATAACGGACCTGAATAAAGCACTTGCTCAAAAAGGTCTGACAGTCTCTATAGAGCATTCCATCCAAACAAACTTGAATTTACATTCTTTTCAGCAGCCCATGGATCCTACTCCAAAATTGATCACATCCTAGGCCGCAAATCAGATCTCAAAAAATTAAAGAAAATAGAAATTATACCTTGTACCTTCTCTGCCCATAACAGTATAAAATTACAGTTCAATTCCTATAGAAACACTCAACCCCTCACAAAATCATGGAAACTAAACAATCTATTATTGAAAAATTATTGGGTAAAGGAAGAAATTCAGAGGGAAATCGAGAATTTCTTCGAACAAAATGATAACGGTGATACCTCTTACCAAAACCTGAGGGATACAGCAAAAGCTTACCTCAGAGGAAAACTAATAGCAATTAACACTCACATCCAAAAAACAGAAAGCTTAGATACTGACAACCTAATGAATAAGCTCAAGGAACTGGAAAAAGAAGAGCAAACAAATTCTAATCCTAATAGAAGAAAAGAAATAACAAAGATCAAAGCAGAACTGAATGAAATGGAGAACAAGAGAACTATACTAAAAATCAGCAAAACCAGAAGCTGGTTTTTTGAAAAGATAAACAAAATTGATGGCCCTCTTGCTAAACTGACAAGGACCCAAAGGGAAAGGACTGTAATAAACT